TGTATGTGTGTGTGTGTGTATATATATATCTAAAAAGTACTATGTGGGGATTGTTGGGTGATTGGGGATGACGATGGTCTGAGGAGGAGGAGGAAGAAGAGGAAAGGTGTATGCTGGGGATAGTTGGTCATAAAAATAGTTAAACCACTAATTCACATGTAAGTGAAATTTAAAATCAAAATGTTAATCTAGCTGATAAATAACCTAACCTCAGACCCTGAGTGTAATCAAGGGCGGAGTTCCTTGTGGGCTATAACCTGGGCTACTTACTACTATTTAAAATTAAAATTAATACTACTATTTACTATTAGCCATAGCCAAGCCCAGCTTAGCCCAAGTTGCCCAATTCATAGTAAAACATAAATAATAAATGACCCAACTCAAAAAATAAGCCTACAAATAAATTAGAATTAGAAGATTGAAGAAGACCTATGGGCTGTTTGGCATGATGTAGTATTATTTTTGGTGTTTTCATCTTCTCTGTTTGAAATTTTTCACTAATAAATTTTCTACTTGAATTCCCCCTCCCCCTTTTTTTTTTTCAAATCTTGGGTTCGCCCCTGAGTGTAATTTACCTAAATCATAAGAGTTTAGATTAAGTGATATTTTTTCTTTCTTAATGGCGCGTGTAAATTATAAAAATGATATTTGCACTTTACTTTCATACTTTATTGTCATTAAATTTTTGTCAAAATTTATTTTCAAAACAGAGGTGTTAATATCACATTCAATGAGTTTTGCATTTTCAATATAAATAATTACGTGCCTTAACTTTTTAAAAATTGGTATATTTTAGTATGATATAGTTATCAAGAAGGCTGTGACCTAGTACTAGTAGATTCTTACTTTTTAAAGAAAGATTACTTATTCGAATCCCAATGAAAATATATGTGTGAGTATCTATAAAAAAAAAAAAAAAGAAAAGAAAAAGAAAAAGAAAGTATGATATAGTCGTGAGGGCATTGTGACATCAATCGGAGACCGACCAAATGGCAAAGCGGCGAATGGGTGGTCGAGATTTAATTCTGCACCGCTGAGTGGCCCCCACTTCGGACCCACCGAAAACGAAAAGCAAAAGAAGTTGCTGTCTGTTTTGCATTGCAGCCTCCTAGTCCCTGGACGACAGAGCGCCACCTGGCAAATTAACAGCTGGCAGCGTTGACCTCATTTCCTCGGCGACATGTAGGAACTCGTATGGCGTTATTTACTCGGTCAACATAATCAAAATTAACAACTAACAACTAACAACTTTGTCTGACATTAGCTTACCTTTTAACCCCAAAAAAAAAAAAAAAAAAAAAAAAAAAAAAAAAAAAATGCCTTTGTCTGACATTAAATATAACATTATCTTTTGAGCGACACAACTCTCTTTACCTGCCTCCACTTATCCTAATAATGATTTTATAAATTTTTTTATATTATTATTATTTTTTAAATTCGCAATTGTTTTTGTTTCGAATTTTATATCATATGCATTATAGCGAAACAAAATAAATAAGGCTGAAATCGAAAACAAATGTTTCCTCTAATATTTTTGCGATGTAGCAAAAATATTGTATTGAGAAACAATACCAAAAAAGGAAAAGAAAATACTTAAAAGGTCTTTTTAACTAGTTTTTTCAATTTATTAACACTTTTATACCAAGTATATTTTTGTATTTCTACTTTAAAAAATTTTATATTTATCAAACTTATTTTTAATTATTGAACAAAATAAAACGGTTGCAGCATAAACAATTTGTTGCAACTATATGTTTTTTGGTCCACATTAAAATCGTAACCATAACTTCCCTGACACGGGCCATTAATTTATGTCATTTTGACCCTACCTCAACTTTAATGAATTAGAGTCATTATTAATCATCATCTCATAATGAGAAGTTACATAAGATGTTAAGGTCATTAGTCACCATGTGAAAGAAACAACTATTATTCGACACTCCTGAGTCTTCATCCATTTGATATTTGATGAATTAATTAAATAAAAATTAATATTAAGATTTTTTTATAATATATTAATATATTTTTGTTGGTCATTTTCTTAATTTAGAGTTTGGATTTAATTGGTTTTTCAAGTGTCAATGGTCTAAAATTATTTAATAATTTTTCAATTCAGAATAATCTTTCATCTATTTAGAGTATGCTTTTAGGAGTGGGTATTTGGTCTGCCAACCGCGAGTCCGACCCATCCGTGTGGGTCAGATTGGATTATTAGACTAATTAGTGGTGAATCAATAATATGAAATTCGTAATTCATGAATTGAATTATTGATTGGGCTATTAAAATCGATTCGATTCGTGATATTTATACACATAGTCCCAATTTGTAGATACAACCTGATCCAATATTCTAGGGATCCGATTCGTTGTTACACGGATCAGTGACAGATTCAAAATTTTCTAATCCGCTGTGATCGGGTCAAATTATAATTGATGCCTAACTTGATCCGTGGTTATCCCTAGTTGCTGTAACATTTTTTTTACAATACTTACATATATTTTTAATACCTTTTATTTACATTTTAACACACTTGCAATATAATTGAAACATAAATAATGTGTTAAAAATAGATATAACAATTATATTTATTTCCATTATTTCGTATTTCAAATTTTGTGTGTGTGTGTGTGTGTTGATGGGTAGATGAAACATGTTAAAATAGCTGTAAATGTGTTAAAGCTATAATAATTGGCGTCTCCAATAAAATTCGAGGTATGTATCTCGAATATGATGCGACGCAAATTAAATCGACGAGTATGCCATCAGTTTTAATAGATATTACACTTTCTTTTTCTTTTTATTGAAGTATTAACATATTTAAGTTATAGTTAAATTAAGAAATCAAACAAATTCAAAGATAAGCAGATGATTCCGATATGTATGTATGTATTTATACCCATATGTGTGAAATACTCATTGAAGTAGAAGTGAGAACAAATATTAAATTAGGTTTCTCTCTCTAATTTTTTTTCTCTACTTATATCTTTTGTTACATATATATATATATATATATTCTCTTAAATACGCTCCACTTTATAATTATGATAAACATGAAGTTGATAATATATTAATCAAATTATTCAAACACAATTAGGGTTTTTAGTTAAGAGAAAGATGGCTCAAAATATAATTTTGAGAAGTTTTTAAGTAATTAGGGTTTTTAGTTAAGAGAAAGATAACTCAAAATATAATTTTAAGAAGTTTTAAGTGAATTATGTATTTATGTAATTATTCACACATAAAATTTGGTTCAGAAAATTAGAGGTTGAGATTTTATCATAAATAAGTTTTTCTTACTCATTTTCTCAATTATACCATGTATTTTTCGGACAAAATCGCTTTAAAATATACTCAAACATACAATGTATTCCCTATACAAAATCGCTTTAGAATATACAAAGCTAACCCGTCACAAAATTATCATATCATCAGCCATATAATTCAAGTTATTTTTGTGATACATGTGATCTTTAGCATATTCCAAAGCAATTATAGCATCAAAGGATTCGAACTATCTCCATATAATGAATTTAAATACATGGCCATTGGCCCCCACCGCACATGTATATAAAATATATATGCTTATATCTCCCCTTATATTTAGGTTGTAATTACTAATTAACTCACTCTATGTCTTAATTAAAATAAGTCCAATTAAGAAAAAAAAAAATTTAAACTTACTCAATGGAACTTTTGTTTCATCTGTTCCTCCTTTAGTGTTCAATAATTATACAATTCTATTCGCAGCATACAATTGATGTAGAAAATTACTGGACTAAATTGTCCCAACTTTCATAGTCAACTTCTCCTTTCATCTTTGAAGACAAACAAAAGCCGCCATTTTCGCATTTTATACGTTTATATACATAGGACTGTTCAAGCTACTAGAACGAAGGAGTCTAAACACAACAATATATATATATATATATATATATATATATATATAAATATAAAATGTAAAAGAAGAAGAAGAAAATTATTTAAATTTGTACGTGAAAAAGAAAAAAAATGAGAGAATTTTAAAAATATGAAGTTAAGATTTCAATTGAGAAAGAAAAATTTGACTTTCTCTTTTAAGAAAATTTAAGAAATTTGAAAGGTAAAAGAAAAAATAAAAATAATATAAACAAGATAATTTTAGAAATCACAAAATCTAAGGAACGAGAGCAGGAGACTGAGAGCGGCATAATTATGTCATAAGCAGTGAGAATTTGAGCGGAATCCCGAACGGATTCAAAAGCGGGAGTGTGAAAGCGGCAGAATTAAGTCATAATCGGTGAAAATTTGAATAGGAGCGCGTGAAGTGATACCTGTTAAGAAGGATTGTGTGACTTAGATCATTACTACTCTTGTTTATTTTTATAAAATATGTTCATTTAATGAAAAAATGTCTATCAAAGTATTAGGCGAATATTAATGATCAAAAGATACAATTTGTTACATATTCGAGAGATTCACAATCTAATTATATATATGAGATGTAATATTAAGTATCCCACCGGTCCTTACAGAAATACATTGTAATGTATATATAAAATATATATACAATTTGATATACACTATTGAAACTTGAAATTTTAATAGCATATTATACTAAGATGAAACTTATAAAAAAAAAATTATAAAATTTTAAATAATTAATTACTTTATATTTTAAATGAATCTATTATATTTGACACACATATATATATATATATACATAGCTACATAAATTCGAGGAAGTAATAGATTTTTATTTGACCGGACTATTCATATGATTGATCCCGAAGACAATTGGCCAATTCATTCTTGTTCTCGTCTGTCTCTTTTCCACATATGAAAACAAAATTTGGGTTTGACTTGGTTACGCATATGAATAGTGCATCAAAACGACGGTCATGCCGGTGTAAAATGACATTTACAAGCACGTCCCCATTTTAACATGCCCGAGTAAAATGACATTTACAAGCACGTCAACATTTTTGCTTTAAATAAACTCGGCGCCTTACCTCCTAATTTTTTCTCTCTACGCCCTTCCGATTTCTTTTGTTTCCACCCTACGCACGCTAGAGAGAAAATTTTTGATAGAGAGAGATTTATCGTACACTATACAGAGAGAGAGAATATTAGAGAGAGAGATAAACGCAGCGTTTTTATCAGTCAGCGAACGACTTGGAGAGTTTGATGAGGATGGGGTTGACAAGCTTCTCGAACACGAAATAGCGACTCAAAGAGAGAGGTAGAAGACAGCAAGAAAAGAAAAAGGATTTCCACCGTCTCTTTCCTGTAAGGTTCGTTTTACCATAAAAATTAGACTCATTTCATCACATACACATACACATATATATGTGTGTATATATATATATATATATATGTATGTATAGTCTTAGTTACTTTGGATCACATTTGCCTCTGTAGCCCCTTTATTTGGAAACTCTCGATCTTTGTAATCGGAAGCTGAAACAGGTATATCTTTTTAAAACTATATAATGAATTTTAATTTGAAAGATCTAAGTTACTTCAATAGGTTCTATTTCAACCATTAATTCTGAAATCCTTCAACTTTAGGGTTTCTTTGTCAATAGGTCATATGCTTTTGGTTCAATTAATTTTTTACCTTTTTAATTCTGAATAATCTCATGTAGGTTTGCTTGATTTTTCAAAGCAATTAGTGCAAGTGATGTATAATGTTATATATCTAAACTTTAATCCATATATTGCCATAGTTATATCTTAATTTCAGACTCTTTTAGCGGATTTTTTTCCGTTTCGGTTGAATTATGCTGTCTATATATATATATATATATATATATATATATATTTAGGTCTAGGTTGTGTGGTGATTACTTGTAATTAAGCTATAGCTATGCACACTCATGTATATAAACATATCCATCACACTACCTCGGATGCTGGATATTGTGTAAAGTAACTTGTACTTTAATTAATTGGCACTAATGTGTTTCTTTTCTAAATCTAAATTGATTTTATATGCATTTTTGTCTGTAGATTATTTGACAAATTTATTATGGGTTCTGAATTTTAATTCTTAACTAGATTTCACTCATTCAGTGTCCCGTTCTTTGCATTAGATTGGGTTGAATATCAAATGGTTTCAATTTAAATATATTTGGTATGATTACTATGTCTTTCGCAGAAACATATGATCTATACTGTAGCGGGACCATAACTGGGTAATATTTGTATGTGATCAATACTTTAATAAACCAAAGCCACCTTCATCTTCTGGGCAAGTGTTTATATCATCTCCCTAATAACGCTCTTTATTGGAACGGTAGTTAGGGGAAAGCAAATATGATAGTTAAAAGGTTTCTCATACACTCCTAAAATATGTGTTTTTACAGCCTAAGTTAAATTGAGAAAACTAGAAAATGAAAGTGACACTTTTCAAATTAAGTCATTCTGTTTATAGATATATATCTGAAAAGGAAACTAAAGCTTTACCAGAGAGAGGATGAATTGCACAGAAGTAAAAGTGCTGACATGTTACCTGAAAAGGAATGGGTTGGTAAGGTTTTGATTCCTATTGCTGTCAACTAAAAGAAGTTTAAAAAAAAAGGAAAAGGACAAGAAAAAAAGAAGAAGGTAACTGTACCAGAAAACAACATTTGCAGTTAGTTAGATGTCATACTCTTAGCTGAAATGAGAGTTTGGATCAAAATTTAATTGCATTTGCATAGTTACTATCATATGCTTCATTTCTGGAATTTTTATTCATATTTTGACTCTTAACCTTAAGAATGTTGCATGCATTGGTACTTTTTGGTTATGACATTAATTGTATTCCCTCTGTTTGTGATTTGTGAGGCCTGTCTTAATTGCCTCAAGTCAAGAATAGTAAGATCCAATGGTTAATCAACTTAGTGGTTTTGGATGACTTAACATTTTTTTTAGGGATGGTGCCTCATTGAAGGCGAACACATCCTTGTCAACATAGCTTCTGTTTTCCATACACGAACAAGTAATTCATCTTGCCATTTCATTTTCGGATAATCCACATTGAGGGTAATACTAGGGGAAGAGGAAGACCAAAGTTAACGTGGGTAGAGTTAGTAAAGAAAGATATGATAGCATGTGAATTTACTGAGACTATGGCTTTAAATAGAGTGGAATGGAAACATAGGATTCATATAGCCGATCCTAAGTAATTGGGAGAAGGCTTGGTTGTTGTTGTTGTTGTATTTCATTTTCGGATCATTATCCCACAATCATGCAATAATAGGCCATCTTTATTTTGGTATCCTTGCTTATCAATGATTGCACATGGGTGGTGTTCATGGTTGTAATCAAATATCTAATGATCTAATCCAAATCATATCTTAATTGCAGGCTTGCAGCCACATAATTGGAGGAACATGACGAGTCAGACAACTACTAAAGTTCGATTTGTTAAATGCCCTACATGCCGGCAAATTCTTCAAGAGCCAACAAACACTCCTTTGTACCAGTGTGGAGGATGTAGCACGGTTCTCCAAGGTAATAATGTTCTTTTAAATATTCTTTCGATTCCGTAAACCCCATTAGTGGAAAGCATGGTCTGCTATTGTCATGACACATGTGGTGGATGGGGGGTGAATGGGGGTTAGTTTGTTTAGCTAGGATATTTGACATTTAAAGAGCTGGAGATGGGATGGTCTTGGTTCTGAGTCCGCAATAACACAAGCTCATGTCAAAATTATTTCATAATTTCTGAAGCTGAGTATAAGTTCGGCACATAATTGTTCCTCTTGGTTTGGATTGATTTTTGATATAGGGATCAGGGTCCTCTCTGCATTGCACAGAATTTTTACCGTCTGTTATTTAAGCAAGTGCTGAATTAGAGTTACAGTTGCTCCTGTTTCCATATATTATTCGTGGATGATGGCTATTTACTTTGCTACTCTTTGAATTGATTTCTCATAATTTTATATCTTCATGCAGCTAAAAATTCAAGAAACAACAAGTCCAAAGATGCAGGATCACACTTACAAGAAACAGATCCTGCACAGAAAGTTGAATTAGAGCATGTTTCTGAAGACAATGTAGCTAGCAGTCCAAGTCAAAAGGGAACTCTTTCTTCCACAGAGGAATCTACATTGGATAATAGCAATGGGAGGGGTCAAAATGAACTGGGGAATTGTATTAGGGAGCATCCTGGAGGTATAAACTTGTCCGATCAACTTTCATCAACTGAGCTTACTTGTCATGAGAATAAAAAGTCAGCTCCAGAAGCCGGGGCACATAAAGAAGTGCATGAAGAATGCTATTTGGACCAGAGCAACAGAAGGGATCAAAATGATTTCGAAGATTGCAATAAGGAGCAGCCTGGAAGTGCAAACTTATCTAATGGAATCTCTTCATCAACTGAGCTTACAAGTCAGGAGAATGAGGTGTCATCACCAGAAGCCGGGGCACATAGAGAAGTGGATGGAGAATGTTATTTGGACCAGAACAATGGCATTTCTTCATCAACTGAGCTTACAAGTCATGAGAATGAAGTGCCATCACCAGAAGCCGGGGCAAATAGAGAAGCGGATGAAGAATGTTATTCGGACCAGAACAACAGCATTTCTTCATCAACTGAGCTTACAAGTCACGAGAATGAAGTGCCATCACCAGAAGCTGGGGCATATAGAGAAGTGGATGAAGAATTTTATTTGAACCAGAACAACGGAATTTTTTCTTCGACTGAGCTTACAAGTCATTTGAAAGAAGTGACATCACCAGAAGCCGGGGCACATAGAGAAGTGCATGAAGAATGTTATTTTGAAGTGCCATCACCAGAAGCTGGGGCACATAGAGAGGTGGATGAAGAATTTTTTTCGGACCAGAACAACGGAATTTCTTCATCAACTGAGCTTAAAATTCACGAGAATGAAGTGTCATCACCAGAAGCCGGGGCATATAGAGAAGTGGATGAAGAATTTTATTCGGACCAGAACAATGGCATTTCTTCATCAACTGAGCTTACAAGTCATGAGAATGAAGTGACATCACCAGAAGCCGGGGCACATAGAGAAGTGGATGAAGAATGTTATTTGGACCAGAGCAACCGAATTTCTTCATCAACTGAGCTTACAAGTCATGAGAAAGAAGTGGCATCACCAGAAGCTGGGGCACATAGAGAAGTGGATGAAGAATGTTATTTGGACCAGAACAACCGAATTTCTTCGTCAACTGAGCTTACAAGTCATGAGAATGTAGTGTCATCACCAGAAGCCAAGGAACTTGGAGAAGTGGACGAAGAATGTTATTTGGACCAGAACAACAGAAGGGATCAAACTCTATCTGGAGATTGCAATAGGGAGCAGCCTGAAGATGCGACCTTCTCCAGTGAAGTCCCTTCATCAGCTGAGCTTAATGGTCATGAGATTGAGGATTTCTCACCGACAGTTGGAACACATGTAAAAGTGGATGAAAATATGATTTCTTGTGAAGTTCCACCATCTACCGAGTTTACTTGTCATGAGATTGAAGAGACATCACTAATACCAGGAGAGGATGACAATTTCAAGAGTCGTTTCATCTTTAGAAGCTCGAGTTTGGAAAACTTGCAGACTATAAGGCCTGAGGATTCTGCTGTTACTGCTCAAAGGCCTTTGGATGAAAGTATTTCATCCGATAATCTCAAGTCTTCTTACAATGAACTGCTGGAGCAATCTCATGAAAGTGATCTCCATGAGTATCTCCGTGTAAGGTCTATAGATACATTGGAAAATGCACCACTAGTCATCCCCAGGTCTGAACTCAGTGTTACACTTAGAGATATGCCTAAATCTCCAACAACCAGAAGCTATTATGCTTATGATGGTAGTGTCTCTTCTTATGATGAAACTGACGATCAAGTTCCCAATTGGAATCTGCATCCATCTAAAAGAAAATTTAGGAACGCGGACTATGTCAATCAAGCAGGGGATGAGTTAATCGTTGATGACACAAGAAGAAGTGATTTAGATATGAAACATCAATCAAGAAATTTCTTGTCATTTCCATCAGAGAAGAAGCACCATGCCATGAGAGGCAGCCAATGGCATCGAGATGAATTGCTGGAACCCACAAGATATGGCCATCCAGTTAGAAGCAGGGAGAGATTGGAGACAAGTGAACGCCTATCTAGGCTGCCATTCAATTCAAGAGATTGCCAAGCTGGCTATGAACGTGGCAGCCCTTCAAGATATGGGCACAATGAGTTCCAATGCAAATTGAGTTCTCACTCACCTGACAAGCCTGAGTACTCTGAGCAGGACAAAATGACACTATTGAGAATGGTTTATGAACTGCAAGACCAGCTTAACAGAACATACATTTCAAAAGGTAAAGCAGGAAAATTTCCTGCTGGAGTTGTTATGAAGGAAAAGCAGATTCCCTCGTATTATGATCATGTAACACCAGAGGAAATATGTCATGATTTTAACTGTCCTAGGTATGTTGGAAGATGCAGTCAAGGAAAAAGCTGGTCCCAACAATGTGATTATCCGCAGGGGCGTTTCTCAGGGGAGGCCGCAAAAAGACACCAAGTTGATCACTCCTGTTTGCATTGTTGTCCCCAAGAGCGGCATTTCTCAGCACAGTTGCCTCTACAATCAGTTTGCTGTGGCAAAGGGCATTATGGGGCACGCTCCCGTCGCACATGTTACAACCTCTACCACCCCCGTCCCTCAAGTCCTCAGCAGTACACAAGTTCAGAGTTTTCGTCATTGAGCTATGATATGAAGTCTGATGACCATCAGTGGCGTAAAGACCATGAAGTGAAGAAGTCTCGTTTGAGGGATAGAAATCACTTGCTGAAGCGGCATTTTCGGCCTATGGCAGGGGGTGCTCCATTCATTGCTTGCTATCATTGCAAGGAGCTGCTGCGGCTGCCTGAAGATTTTCTCCTCTTTGGAAGGACATGCCATCGGCTAAAGTGCAGTGCTTGTTCTGAAGTACTAAAATTTTCAATTCAAGACCGAACTCATATAGTTCCATATATTCCTATAGTTCCATATACTCCTGATTCTGCAGCTCCTCCGCCCAGTGAGGTTGATGACACTATTGACACCACCGATAGGACGTTGGCATCAGCATCTCATGCCAGTGATTGCCCACGTGCAGACCCTATATCGTGTTCTGATGATTATGGACCATCTTTCGGCAGAAGTTGCTCCACTGAAGTAGAGCCTTTTTCCCTCACACCTCCATTTCCCGTCCTTGAAAGGAATTATAATGATAGAAAGATGTCATCTGGTAGTTCTTTCGAGCCTATGGAGGAGAGAGAGAACAGGCTCGTCACCAGAGAGTCTAGAAACAAATATAAGAATCCTGTGGAAACCTTTGAATCACAAAGGCCATCATCCAGTATGTACAAACCAAAGAAACTGTCCTCAGAAATCGAGGAACTGCCTGCATCAACAGGTTCTCCACTTCATCGGCTCATGGGATATTCATCCCCAAGCGAAGTGATAAATAAGTGACAAGCTCATATATCCAGAGAAAAAGCCGATGATGTTGGTCACCTGAATCCTGTTCATCTTCCTGTTTGAATTCCTCCGGTGACTGTACGTATTCATTTATAAGGGGAGCAGTGATACCACATTCCAAATGCCGAATTCGGAATGCCAAACATTTCCCTTATAAGATTCTGGTGGAGGATTATTAGAATGGGAAATGTGTGGCTTGTGGATTGAAGCATGTATGAGTCCAGCAGAGTGTCTCTGAAAAAACTTGGTGTAAAAATTTGAGTGACAAGAAGGTTCGACCCAAGGCACGAACATTGAAAATTTCCTTTGGTTGCTCCTCACACTTGTAGAGGTGATAGAAAGACTGAATCACAGTGCTGAAGTTATGGTAAAGGAGAACCGAAGTCGATTGTTGTATGTATAGTCTTGTATTTTTTTTTTTGTTTTAAAATTTTTATTTGTGTCTTTATAGTTGATTATATATAGAATTAATTAATTAATTTTTTTTTATGGGTTGTAATATATTTTTTGCTTCCTTAGAACCAAACTTACGTGTGGGATCCTCCTCACTCTGAACTATATGCTCCATTTTTGTATTTATCAATTTCATCAAAGAAGATCAATATGTATGATTTATTATTATTATTTTTGGGCAAGTATAGGTATGATTTGATTGGATCGTTCCACTCCAAACTGATTCTAAAGACATTATAGGTAAAATAAAAATAAAATAAAAAATATAAGATATTCTAATTATTATACGTGGCATTATTAACCTCATTTTATATTTATATAATCATTTTTATTTTATTTTTTATTATTATTTTTATTCCAAATCTTTTTTTTACTTCATCCATATCCATCACTAATTTAAATATTTAATGATATATATATATATATATATATATATATATATATATTAAAAAGACTTAGTTTTCTAATTTTAAAAAATGGTAAAAAATAAGAATTCATTATAGTATAGATATAAAAATGAATTTCCAAATTGGATTTGGATTTGGATTTGAGAAGAAGGTACTTGCCTTTTTAGTTTGGATGTAAAATTTGTTTAGGAATGTAATTGGCTTACTAGTATTAGAAAGTATGGATATAAATATAAAATGTTTTTCCAAATCTTATTTACACCAAGCGTACGAATAGAATTTTAATTTTTTCGTTCCAAAGCCAAATCCCCAAATCCTTGGATTTGTTCCCTTCTTCAACAACCGCAACATCGACTGCCCACTCGTTGAATTACGATCTCACTCCTCCTCTTCATCTTAGTACCATAAAACCCTTAAAAGGACAATAGAGTTTTCAAAGTGTACCCTCTCTCAGTACCGCAACCGTTTAAAAATTCCACCCCAGTTTAACATCTTTATCCCGCGAGTACCCGCTCCGTTTAAGACCAGAAATTCTCCTCCATTTTTTTTTTTTATTAACTAAAATTATAGAATTATTAAAAATATTTATAAAAAAAAAAATAGACAGTAAATAGTTTAACATAAAATGTAACATTAAAAACATTCTAAATGGTCGCGCATGTTATTTGTTCCAAATTTTTAAATTTTGTTGCAAAACAAAATGTTAATATATATACTAATGAAATAAGGGTACTAATGTAAAATATATATACTAATGAAATGATAATATCTAAGTAATTTACATATCTAAACAGAGCGGGGCCACCTCCTCGCTCTCGTACTGAACTTCGCACATTTTTATTACATGGCAAATTGCCAACCTATAAGAGCACCTACACCGGGCTCTTCAAAGCACATATTCAGTGAGCCAATGGATTGTTTGGGCGTGCAGCGGGCTAGCCAAAATTGGTAGGGCCCAATTTTGCTCGCGGTATTCAGCGAGTCGACCCGCGATCGCTGAATTTGTTTTTTTTTTTTTGGTCAAAACGACGCCGTTTCTGGTGCAGTTTTTTGTCTTTCTCCAGCAGCTCACAGTGTGCCAAACAGTGCCTTGCCTTAAGGCATTGTTTGGCAGATTTTTTTTATTTATTATTATTTTAATTAAAACCTAAAAATAGGTTATTTTGAGCTCTTTTTTAAAAATAAAAATAAAATAAAATATATTAAATAAAAAATATATTGTTTAGGCACTATTTGTCGAAAATAAATTTTATTTGGGCCAAAAATAAATTAAAAAAGCTTGTTTTTCTGTTTTTTCCCTTAAAATTTGTTTTATTTTTTATTTTTTTGCTTTAAATTTTAAATGTGTACCACAAATAATGCATTTGGCTGTTAAGGCATTGTTTGCCCGACACAAATAGTGCCTTACAGGCTATAATTTTTAAAAAATGTATATAAATTTTAAAAAAAAAAACTTTTTGTAAAAAAAATAATTAAAATTACAAATTTATCTACTTATTCCCATAGAATTTTGTAATAATTATTTTCTTATTCTAATTCATTATTTTTAATCTTAAAAAATTATTACATAATAAAAATTATATAAGATGAAAAATATAGTCGTTAAAAATAAAGTCGTTACGAATATAGCCAAATTCGAAGAGCCTGATGGAGTGTATGTTTCTGGAGAGCGAAAACTGCTGACGTGATTCTTAGAATTGTTGACGTGACATTTTTAGATAGCCAAAATTCGGAGAGGCTGGTACAGATGGCTTAAGTACATTTTTGGTCATTCTAAAAGGATCGGGTCCAATCCCGGTCATCCTTAAATTGACACTTAAGCACCAAGACCGGAAATTGACACTAAAGCTTAGGGTTGCAAGTTGGGTTGGCCCAATCCATCCTAGTTCCAACCCAACCTCAACCAGAATCGGGTTAGGTTGGGCCAACCCGAACTGTACTCAACACGGGTTATGATCATAACCCAGCTCGAATATTTTTGGACGGATTAGGTCGGTTTCACGGGTTGAAATTTTTTTAAAATTTTTTTTTTTGGAAATTTATATATATATATAAATTATATATATTTGATTTTATTATTATATATTTGATTTTATTATTATTAAAAACAAATTTTATATATATATATATATATATATATATATATATTATATATTTTATTTAGGGTAAATCATTTTAGCCTCCCCAATCGTCTCTCTCTCGCTTCTCTCTGAACTTGCGCCCACCCTCTCTCTCTCTCTGCAACAACTGCAAATTACAAAATCTTCAAGAATCAGAACTTCAAAGCCCATATATTTCAGTTTCATCTATTTGTTTGCAACAATCAAAAGTTCAAAACCCATATCGGCATATCATTTCAGATTGTTCAAAAAATCAAAACCCAGATCTATTAGTTTCCATCGCCGCTGTTCCAGATCCCGTTCGCCGTTCGCAAAGCTTCAATCGCTGTCTCTCAACTCTCAACCATTTCAGATTGTTCAAAAAATCAAAACCCAGATCTTTCAGTTTTCATCGCCCACTGTTCCAGATCGGGTTCGCCGTTCGCCGTTCGCCGTTCGCAAGCTTCAACCGCTGTCTCTCAACTCTCAAGCTTGCCCCCCCCTCTCTCTCTCGGCAACTGCTAACTTGAATGTATGGGGACGGCGGTAGAGAGAGAGAGAGAAAGAAGAGAGAGAGAGAGAGAGAGAAGAGAGAGGAGAGAGGAGAGAGAACGGAGTAAACAAAAAAAAAAAAAAGTTTTTTTTTTTTTTTTTTTTGGGTTTTGGGTTGGGTTCGGGTTGAGTCAGAGCTCAACCCGAATATGTATGGGTTGTGACAAAACCGAACCCGAATATTAACCCGCAAATTTTCGGATTGGGCTTGGGTTGGGCTGGGTTAACCCGCCCAAGTTGCAGCCCCTTCCCAAAACCTAATTCAAAATTAGAATTCCCCCCAAAATTAATACTTCCTCCAATCATTCCTGCCAAAATTAACCGTATCGACGTTGGAGTCTCCTAGCTCCATCGTTCGCAATCTCACGGCACTCACCGTTGCCGGCAACCGCTTCAGCTACCATCACAGGCTACACCACCACCCGTGAATCTCTAATCTTCTTCTTAACCGTAACTGCAGATGTCGCCTCCTGGCCAACCTCAGAACCCTAAACCTCCGCACAAGGGCAAGCCGTTGCCATCAAAGGTTGTCTACCTAACTAATCTGCCATCCGGATACAACGAAGAAGACGTTCTTCGTTTCTGCAAGCCGTATGGTTGTGTCTTGCGCGCAATCGTGTTTAGTGATGGAAAGGATCGTAAGGCTCTGGTTGAATTTGTAAGTAATTTCATGGAGGTATTTATATTAGATATTCAATTAATATGTTTAGGAAGTTTCACTTATAACATATATTTAACAGTCGACCATGGCTGAGGCAACTCATATGGTGAGACAATCTCATCCAATGCGGACTGGTGGACGTTTTGGGAAAACAATTTATGCTCAGTATTCTTACAAGGATGAAATATCTGAAAAGAGAGAAACGAATGTTTCGGGAAACATATTAAATGTAAGGACTGTGGGAGTGCAATCCAGCGATGTCAACATTGACGTCCTTCACATGGTAAGTCCTTTCCCAGTTTAGAATTTATTCTAAGAATCATATATTTTGTTGCCAATTAAATTGTATGCCTGTTATATGAAGTTCTTGGGTTGTATTTAGATGAATGTTGCCATATCTAACCTAGGGTTTCATTTTGTGCAAGACTTATATATGATTTATCTCGTGTAGTTGTTGTTTCACTTAGTAGAGAATTAAATTATAGTATTATTTTGTTGTTGTAACTATAGTATTCTAGAATTATTCTTGTCATTGATTATATGTGAAATTAAACTATGTTATTGTCTAAAATTAGGGATTTAAGCTTATTTGATAGCATGAATGAATTGCCTATGTTGACAACCTTGTAGTAATGTAGTGGTATTTACATTGTAAACTTGACATTGTAAATGCCATTGTAGTTTAGAAGACTTAAAGTATGAATTGTGTAATTGCATGTCTAAGGTTTACTAAATCGTTTATGTGAATGACATAATATTAGTATAATTGTGTACAAGTTAAGAACATGATTGAACGACTATTGAGTAGTCTACATTGTTTTATTGTTGTGAACTTGTTGATATATTCTCCATATGTGTGAATCATGGTGTGTGTGTGTGCCACTTTGGTCTTAGGTGCATAGTGGTCATCATTTAGTTTATGAGGTTACAAGTTGTGTGTGTACGGCATGCATGACATGATTGAAGGATAAAAGCTATCCGAACTTGAGAAATAGACATCGAGTCCAAGGGCTAAAAATCCCTAATCACACTTGGCCAGTGGGGTGCGGAAGTGCACCAATCATTTTAATCGAATGGGATTTCCAGCATATTATCACATTGAATCATGGAGTCACATACTTGAACATATTTATTATTGGATGTATTAATTCATTTTTGGAGATGTCCCTGTTACGTAGTTTAGGTGTTTGGTGAAATAAACTTGTGAATTTGTTAACAGTTATTGAGATTAGAAGCTGAGTTTTGTGGGTTTTGAATCAAAGTTAATGTTATGCTAAGAACCGTGGGTTTTAGAATGAATGAATATGAAAGTTTAGGACTTAAATTTGTTGATTTCCATGAATGGTGGTTATCTTCCGTTCTGTGGAAAGTGGAGTGTGACAGATGTATTTATAATAAAGAAACCCTAACAGAATAAGAAATCGTAAAAGAGAAAGCTCTAGAATCTTAATCTCATAAATAAAGGTCACCATTGATTGGGTGACTTTTTCAACAAAATTTACCAAATTGCATACCATATTTTTTTAGTTGAATTCTTCTGTTTCTAGATGCTTTAACAATGGTTCAATTGTCGCTTAGGTTTTCTCGGCATGTGGTTTTGTTAGGAAGATTGCTACGTATGAAAATTCTGACGGCTTTCAGGTAAGATGTTGAAAGTTGAATTTGGACTATAATTTTATATCTCTATTACTTTTCAATTTACTAAGATGTCTTGGCAGGCATTGATCCAATTTGGAGATTCTGCCTCTGCAACTAAAGCAAAGGCTCAGTTGAATAAAGCTAGCATACCAGCGTATGCATCTCTCTCTCTCTCTCTCTATATATATATATATATATATATATATATATATATATCTCTTCTTTCCTATACCCATTTTTGATCTACTTCCTAGTTGATCTAATACTCATGTCGGGCTCTCACTTTGGTGATATGTGGTTGTAATGTTTAGGTACCTTCTTCCAAAGCACTCTGGTACATGCCACATGTGGATCACTCAGAGTACACTTAGAGATCTGGACATTCGATTCCAGACATATCGAAGCAGGTAACAGGGACTTAATCATATAATTATATTGTATTATTCCGATCACAATCCAATGCTTCATTCGTCTATTATTATACTGGTCTGGTTTTGGCTTGAATCTAAGGGTTAGTGAAGCCCGGGAGCAAGAACACAGATGTGCTTTTCATGGCCTCGTAGTAATTATTTGGGAATTTGTAATGGTTGTCATATATCATTAAATACCACATTCCCATTTTTTTTTTCTTCTACACAGCAGATACTATACAATTATGTTGTAGATACTCCACTTTGGAGGACAATGGGCATCGCCCAATAAATTTCCTTATGAATATGCAATCTGATTTGCTAATGAAAATCATCTTTGGGTTCTCTTGTTCCCAATTAGCACTAGTGTCTGTGCTCCTCTGTGGTAAAAGAAGTATAAATTGACTCCCCATCCCCCAAGAACTCGTACACATGCAGATATTGAGTCGATGAAAATATTGTTGTGCAATTTGTATGCATCTAAATTTTGAAATCGACTGCTAATGCAAATTGTTGTGGAACTAGCAGTTCTGTATACATACATATCTCTCTCTCTATATATATTTTCTGTGAACCAAGAAGTCGAATATCTCACTCTTTTGTCAAATGAGATTTGTATCTCAACTCCCAATTCTCTCACTTTGTATTGTTTCACTAATATCTAACCTAGGAGTCCACAAATTCCCATTTTCCTTACCTATTTGTTTTTTTTTTTTGATAAGTAACCCATTTTCCTTCCTTATGTATAACTCTCTTGAAACACATCCTTTTTATGAGGATAAACTTGAAATGCTTCATTTTTATTATAGTGGATGAATCTTTTGATTATATTTGCTTTTTGATTTCTATTCTTTTTTGTATCTTCTTATTGTAGTTAATCTCGTTTGTATTCATCAATGATGTTGTCAATAACGTGCCCAGAACATTTGGACTTTGTTTGCTTCATTCTACAGGGATTACAGTGACTTTTATATTCCGGTCGTCCCCACCTCGATCAAGAAATTTGTTGAGGTGTGTTCTTGTTACTGAACATTTCCATTGTATGTTATTCTTTTGCAACTACTAACAAATTGTATGATTCAGTGCTTTCTCGACAGAAATAGCAAAGGACATGAGAGCAATGTGCTTTGCGCAGTTATAGAAAATCTTGAATATTGTTACTCGTTGGATATTCTAAGAGATGATTTGCACAGGGTGATGAATTTTACTCATTATTTTCTCACATTATTTATCATTGGGAATTCTAATTATCAAATTGTTTTATTGATCCAGATATTTTCCGAAGTTGGTGTTGTGCAGAAGATTATGACAACAGTTTGTGCAAATGGAACGCAAGCATTGATTCAGTATCCTGGTAGGTCCCTCCTGAACTAATATTAAAAAAGGGAAAAAAATATATATATATATTTTGCTGTTTTAATTTATTGATCTGGAAATTGATATATCAGGATTGTTATCTTCTTTGGAGCTTGTAGTTCTGATTTTGATATCTGGCTGTTTAGGTCTTGTATGCAGGGGACTAACGCCTCCTTATTCTCTTGCTCACAATAGTTATTTGGTTTTACTCTTAAGAACCTTTTTATGCAATTAGATGCTTTTCAAAGTATTCAATGGAAAATGTTTTTGTTTGATATCTGACGTAGGTATCAAAACTTTATGATCTGTTCTTGTACTATAGCCCTTGTCTTCTTTGTTTATTGTCAACTTATTGTTTGGGTAGCTTGCTTTGTCTTTACTTGCGGATATCTAATATCTAATCACATTGTATATTTTGCTCTCTTTCTCTCTGCAGAGAGATTCAAGATTTTATTTTCTTTTAGTTTGCATTAGTTTTTGCAGCAGCAACTGATGGAGGGTATAGTTTCCATATTCGCACATATCTCAAAGTTCTCAGTCCTTGTTTTTTGGTCTGTGATTATCTCATTCAAATTGAATTTTTTTTTTGTGGATCATATTTCCTGCTTTTGTCTTCCATGCGATTTCCTCTGGTCAAATGTCTATGCTTATTTTGGTTCATTTTTGCCTCTAGGGATGCCAATTTGGTGTCCACCCGTAATAATCCCATTGTTCTTGGGTTTCCATATTCCCTTTTCTCTTGTGGGGCAGTTTTGCAATGGTCTATCTTTCTCAAACCAGTTTACCTAAGTCATATTAGGGTCCTAAGTAAAGTCCTCTTTAATCAACAATGACATGTTAAAAGGATGCTCAACATGACATAGTTTAATGCTGTAGGCCAAAAGAGATCCAGTACTTCACCACTAAATGGAGTGACCATCATCTGTGGGATAGGTTGTGCGGTGACGCTAAGGAAAATAGGCCATCAAGAACTACCAAAAAAACTATTACAAAAAAAAAATACTAAGAAAATCTCTTTTTTCATGTAGCATGTGATACCCAAATTTCGGCGTCATTGTTTTTTTTTTTCCTTCTTCAACAGTTCAACAAACGTGCACACAAACAACATTGCCTCCATTAGGGTCTCGAACACTCAACCTCCCCTTTGGAGAGGCGAGATCATACCATCTAGGCTAATGTCCATTGATAATTTCATCATCATTGTCCATGCCTCTTTTGTTTGGGTTTTGAGTTATTTGGATTGTTATTGCATGTTTATGCCCTATCCTATATTTGACATCAATTTTTACCAAAGTACATTGCTATTTGATAAAAGTGAAAAGTGCTAATTATAATTTGAGAATTGTTTGATGAGTTTTCAATAATAAGTAGCCTTCAGTTCTCCTACACTTAAAATCATAATTGAAACATTAGCTAAATTGCATTTTCATACACAACGTATTCAAAGCCAAGTGCTGAATTAAGTTATCAAAGAATGATTTTGTTATTTTATATGCATGTGGTGTTCCTTTTGTAGACCACTTGATAGTTGATGTAATTATTAAATTTTCAGATATCCCAACTGCATCTATAGCTAAAGATTTGCTTGAGGGACGTTGTATGTATGATGCCTCTTGTAAGCTTCGGATATCTTACTACGACAAGACTGATATTAAGATGGAGGTATTAAAATATGATTTTGAGTTAATGTTCATATTTATATTTTTTCTTTTTGAGATTTTTAATGAAATATGATAAAATAAATTGATGGTTCTAGGCATATATCCGTGGATGTAGAGACTACACGAGACAGTGGTCGATTCCCAGTCAACCAGCAAATGCGTATGGCCCACCTGTTTGGTGCCAGAATCCTAAAGGAGGGCGACTGACTTACGGGAGTGAGTTTGCTGCCGCTGGTGCGGTGGAAATTAAAGACGCATTTGTGTGGAATCCGACCGAGCAACGTGGCTATGTTCCTCCTCATGTCACTGCTACTGCTGAGTTCTATCCGACGTATGCTCTTGGCCATCCTCATTAGGATTTGCATTATGATCAGTTTCAGTTGACTTCACCCAACATCAGTTCTTTTTTTTTCTATGCAGCATTGAAGATTTGTTCTTTTTTATTTTCTTGGAGTAGATAAAATTGTTTCTCAGCATTTATGAAATTTCCTGGTGGTGTTTCGAATGACTTGTTTTCACCCCTCATATTTTCCTCTTTTGGTGGAGGCAGTAGAGGGAGGGAGGGATGGGTTCAAAATATGAACTTGCGGATTCATTAAGGCAAGAATAATTTGTGGGTTTTGCGCTTGAACTTAACAAGCCTTACAATGAGGTTACAATGTTGTTTTCAGTCCATGCATCAGAATTATGGCTGCTTGTAGCTAGCCTTGGTCATTTGCTATGGTTGCTTGGCCTTGGTCGTGAAGTATTTGCTTGATGGCTTTTGTGCCTTGTTTGTACATACTGATCTATATGAAAGCTAATCCTTTACCAGGAAAAAAAAGGGGGTTCAAAGTTTGTGGTTCTTTGGTTTGTCCAGAAATTTTTGTGGTCCTTATGATTTTATCTGTTAAATCAAACTGCCAAATGCCAATTGAAATCTGTCATACTTCCAAAATATTTATGTTGTTTAGTTAATCAGCATTTTATCTTGTTTATCATATTGTTATCCAGTTTTTTAGGTGGTTTGTTTTCAGAGGCAGAGATTGGGAGCAAGATCCCTTTGAACTTTGAATGCATGATCCCGCAAACACTGATGGCAAGAGTGTGTGCTGGGCTTGGCCTTAACGGCCTTTCTGATTGTAATTAAGGGCTGGCCTCTTTGACTCGGGCAAGGGGAGAGCGTGAGCTGAAAAGCCATAGTTACCCGCCATAGAGAAATTAGCTTTGGTCTTTGGTCACATCAAAACAATTCCAAATTAGGTATTCTCATCAAGTGCCCTAGAATTACGGGGTCTGGAAAAGAGCTCACCACCATGGACCAAACTATTGCTGAACTCTATGAGGGTTCACAAGGTCTTGCGGATGCTATACACCCGAAGAGCTCAAAAAGATAAGAAAGGAGATGAGCAAAGCTGACAATTAAGAAAGACAATCTATCACCGAGTAGGATATAGCCAATCCCTTAAAACAATGAAAATGAGTGAGTACAGTATGGTAAAATATCTTAATAAGCTTCTTAGTCAGATCTAGTCCTAACGTACATCATGGATATATGTTTGATAAAGGTATTAAAGGAGACGTTTCTAACACAGTAAAAGAAAAATGAAAATAATCTCTATACTAATTCGAACAAAGTGAAATAATAACAAACAATTTATCCAGTTTCTTTCCATATTGATATGGTGATTCCAGCTACTAACATTAAATTCATCCTCATTATGTTTGTCAAAATCCAACATCAACTATTATTCCTTGCCTTGTATAGTTGTGTAGCATCATTAATGCAACTACAATCATTTTTTGTGTTCCAAATTAAAAATGAGCCATACGTTTTAAAATTAGCCATCAAACTTTCCAAACGCTAAATTATATTTCTTAATGATGAAGGAGCATATTTATAACTCCTTTGGCATGGAAACTTATTTGGAATTCCTGTAAATGATGGTGCATATGGTGTTGAAAATCCTAACATATTAGGGCACCCAAATAACGAAAAATTTATCGGTTAAATATATATATATATATATATACAAAATGCTAATCCAGCCATGGTCGAAGTAAATATCTAAGAGAAGTGGACTAGACCTTGCTCTTCTTACAGAGCATCTGCTTTTGCTAGGTCTAAGGTCTAGAATTCTTAATTAAATGAACCAAACTTAGAGCTCTACTGGTTAAAAGTTTGTTTCGAAATCGTCCATTAACGCTCTGTTTGATTATATGAAAATAGTAAGAAAAGAAAAGAAGTGAATATATATATATATATTTTTTTGAATACTTTGGAATTTTGAGAGAAAACGACTTTCTAACTTTTTCATAAAATTTTATTACAAAAAAAAAAAAAAAACACACACACACACACACAATTTTTTTTTCATATCTCGAGAAAGTTTTTAAAACTTACAATAATATCATTTGTTTTATGAAAAGTTTCATGATATTTAAACTTGTAAGTTTTCATAATTTTCTTGAATTTTTTTTTAATTTATTTTTCATTCATTATATATATATATATATATATATATATATATATATTTTTTTTTTTTTTTACTTTTACTTTCCACCATTAATTCCTATCTAGCTACATAGAAGTTTAGCCCACATGCCACATATCATTCACAGGCCCAATTAGTTGTTTTACCTTTAAAGGCCCATCTAACTTTCATCTCAACCCTTGGTTTTTTAATCCACGAAGCACGAAGCACGAACCCAAAGAAGCACGAACCCTAAGAAGCAAGACCGAGGAGTTTTCAAAGGTTGGAGACGGCAATGATGGTGAAGGAGGAGAAACCACTAGTGCCGGGAAAGAAGATGATGATGGAGCAGGTGGAGGAGAGGATAGCAGACCAGAATTTGGAGGATGGAGTGGTGGAGAAGAAGGAGAAACCACTAGTGCCGGGAAAGAAGATGGTGGTGGTGAAGAAGGAGAAACCACGAGTGCGGGGAAAGAAGATGATGGTGAGGCTGTCGAGGATATTCATGGATAAGAAGACATCGTATATGGTGCCGGAGGAGGAATCCCTCCCCCGGCAGCAGGAGGATCCGAGGGAGGTATTTTTCCAGTAACCGGAGGAGGGATTGCAGAGAAGATTGAAGACGGTGGCGGGATCCTCAATTCAGCCCACGTGTGAGCAGAAGGTAAGGCCAGTAGTTTTCATAGTTTGCCAATTGAAAAATTCTTCGATTTTCAAATTAGAGATGGAAAAAACTCTAGTAAAATCTGAAGGTCGATTTGAAGTGTTTAATAGAAGGAAGTATTTGGGCAAGGAAACCTCTCCACGTTTAGGGTCTGTGTCTTGTGCTATGGTGCGTAACGAATTATACTTAGCGTGTAGTTATTCGCAGCTTGACCTTCAGGGCAGCCAGATCCGCGAAGCTCCCGTTCATATGTTCGACACTTTGAATGAACGACTGATTGAGTTGCCGTCGTCATCTCATGGTTTTGTTACACCCAACCCTTTCCCCGTAGTTATGGCTGTTGGAACTCTCCAACTTTATGTTTATGGACAATCTATGGCAACTACATTGAATGTCCCAGCGCCAACACTTGAGAGCTTTAACATTGGAGAGTTCAAATGGGAATCACAATTACCTCCACAATTTGATTTACCGAGCTGTACCTTTGTTAATGGTTATGCGGTTGTAAAGAATTTTCTCCTCATTTCGGTGGCAGATTTCAATCTTAGACATTCTCGTAATGAGTTTTTCTACTGGAATTTCTCTGGTGGTTCTAATTCCAAAAACAAGTGGGAGAAGATGATCTTGTCAAAAGGCCAAAAAAATATACACTATCCATTCTCTGGGAAGGCTGAGTTTGTTGAAGATGTGATTTATTCATACAATAGAGGCTTGTATGCATACCGGGTTGATTGCTGTTCTGACAAAGAAGGTCTACAGATATCTCCTCCTCAGCTAGTTGGATTTCCCAAGTTTGCAGCCCCGCCTGTGGATTGGTCTGATTCCATCCATTTCTCGTTCAGCAGTGCATATATGGGGATTGGGAAGAGATTCTGTATCATCAGGACTGGGGACTCGGGTTGTATTGGTGATCAGCAATTCGTGGGCGTATCTGTAGTTGAAGTTTCTGAAGATATGCAGTGTCTAACAACCCTCTCTTCAACAATCTGCCCACTCGACATCAGTGGCCTCGGCAGTGACTTGATCCTCGATTCTTGCTTTGTCAAGTAAGTTACATGATTAGCTTAATTATCTGCCTACATCTCCCCTGTCCTTAATAAATTGTATCATCAGTTGTACTAGTGCTTCTCTATTAATTAGAGGATGTAATATTCCTGCATGCTATATATATATATATATAAAAATAAATAAATAAAATTTTGTTGTCCAACAATTCTAATTGCATTCTTTTGATCATCATTCTACTAAGCAAGTCTGATGCATTGAGTGGCTTTCAACATTTCTTTTACATCATTGTTCTTCATTTTATTAGAAAGATAGGAAAAATCATTCAAACTATTTTGTGAGCGACGAATTACAGAGTATAATTAGTTGCCTGAGCCAGTTTGCATGCTGTTGGTTGCGACAGACTCTGTTTTTTTCTTTGTTTTTCTTATTTAAATTTTTTTTTTTTTTTTTTATCCATTAAGAGATGATCTATAAGGTGATCATTAGGTATGTGGCTGTGGAGATTTCCATTTGGATAATTGGTTTATTGAGAAAGTTGTGTCTTTCTTGGGTAGCACCTAAATAATACTTGGGGCAGTGAACCTTAAACGGGGGCGGGGATGAGAGATGTAGCTTGTAGAGGGCAGCCTCACGGGGGAGTGAGTTGATGGGTAGAGAGAGTTTAAGGTATTGGTAGAGCGAACACTGATGGCAAGAGTGTGTGCTGGCCTGGGCCTGGGCCTGGGCTTTAACGGCCTCTCTGATAGGAATTAAGGGCTGGCCTCTTTGACTCGGGCAAGGGGAGAGCGTGAGCTGAAACCACACGGTGTAAGGCTCGGGTATTTGCCTCTATACCCTGGAGCAGGAGTTTGTGTAGCCTATAGTTAGGGTGAACCTCGTATATCTTGTGTTTTGTGTGTATGATTGTTCCATTATTACTCTTTCGGTGGATCTCGGTGTTCCTTGTGCTTCCCCTATGCCCCAACACCAATAAGTCCATAGAACTTTAAAGGTTGAAAAATTCACTCAGTTTTGCTGAAGTCAAAATATGAACTTGCGGGTTCATTAAGCCAAGAATAATTTGTGGGTTTTGCTGTTGAACTTAACAAGCCTTACAATGAGGTTACAATTTTGTTTTTTGTCCATGCATCAGAATTATGGCTGCTTGTAGCCAGCCTTGGTCATTTGCTTTGGTTGCTTGACCTTGGTCGTGAAGTATTTGCTTGATGGCTTTTGTGCCTTGTTTGTACATACTGATCTATATGAAAGTTAATCCTTTACCAGGAAAAAATGGGGGTTCAAAGTTTGTGGTTCTTTGGTTTGTCCTTGAAAATTTTGTTGTCCTTTTGATTTTATCTGTTAAATCAAACTGCCAAATGCCAATTGAAATCTGTCATACTTCCGAAATATTTATGTTGTTTGATTAATCAGCATTTTATCTTGTTTATCATATTGTTATCCAGTTTTTTCGGTGGTTTGTTTTCAGAGGCTGAGATTGGGAGCAAGATCCCTTTTAACTTTGAAGGCAAGATCCCTTGGGGGGTTGGGTGAAGTTAACCGAATAGTATTTAATGGCTTGTGGCATGTGAATGGTAGCATTGGAATGGAAGAGGAGACTTTTGAGCTCTTTGACTCGGGCAAGGGGAGAGCGCGAGCTGAAACTACATGGTGTAAGGCTCGGGTAGTTGCATCTATACCCTGGAGTAGGAGTTTGTGTACCTTTTCCGGTCTGAATATCTCCTGATCCGTGGACGTAGCCTATAGTTAGGGTGAACCACGTATATCTTGTGTTTTGTGTGTATGATTGTTCCATTTCTTACTCTTTCGGTGGATCTCGGTGTTCCTTGTGCTTCCCCTATGCCCCAACACCAATAAGTCCATAGAACTCCGAAGGTTGAAAAATTCACTCCGTTTTACTGAAGTCAAAATATGAAGTCGCGGATTCATTAAGGCAAGAATAATTTGTGGGTTTTGTAGTTGAGCTTAACAAGCCTTACAATGAGGTTACAATGTTGTTTTCAGTCCATGCATCAGATTATTGATTTAGAAGAGTCTGAGCCCACATGAAATCATCATGATAAACTTTGATGAGCAACCCAGTCCAACTAATTTGTAAATCCGCGATAATAATCTGCTCTGAAACCAAATCATCAACTACCTATGTGAACCCTATAACTTTAAGGAGACCCCTACTTCCTCTCCTCACTTTATCACCAAAGTTGTCATTTGCAGCACCAAGCTTTCATTTTAACAATCAATGGACTCTACCAACTCTAGAAAAGCCAGAGTTACCCACCATAGAAAAATTAGCTTTGGTCATACCAAAACAATTACAAATCAGGGATTCTCATCAAGTGCCCTAGAATTACGGGAGCCAATTCTGGAAAAGAAATCACCACCATGGACCAAACTATTGCTGAACTCTGTGAGGGTTCACAAGGTCTGGCGGATGCTATACACCCGAAGAGCTCGAAAAGATAAGAAAGGAGATGAGCAAAGCTGACAATTAAGAAAGACAATCTATCACCGAGTAAGATATAGCCGAATTCCTTAAAACACTGAAAACGAGTGAGTACAACATGGTAGAATATCTCAGTAAGCTTCTCAGTCAGATCTCGTCCTAACGTACATCATGGATGTTTGATATAGGGGACGTTCCTAACAGTAAAAGAAAAATGAAATAATTCTATACTAATTCGAATTAAGAGAAATAATAACAAATAATTTATTTAGTTTCTTCCCATATTGATACGGTGATTCCAGCCACTAACATTAAATTCATCCTCATTATGTTTGTCAAAATTCAACATCAACTATTATTCCTTGCCTTATATAGTTGTGTAGCATCATTAATGCAACTACAATCATGTTTTGTGTTCCAAATGAAAAATGAGCCATATGTGTTAAAATTAGCCATCAAGCTTTCCAAACGCTAAATTATATTTCTTAATGATGAAGGAGCATACTTATAACTTCTTCGGCATGGAAACTTATTTGGAATTCTTGTAAATGATGGCGCATATGGCGTTAAATATCCTAACATATTAGGGCACCCAAATAACGAAATATTTACCGGTTAACGAAAAAAAAAGTATATAAATTGCTAATCTAGCCATGGTCGAAGCAAATAACTCAAGACAATTGGATTAGACCTTGCTCTTCTTACTAAGCATTTGCTTTTGCTATGTCTAAGGTCTAGAATTCTTAATCAAATGAACCAAACTCAGAGCTCTACTGATTAAAAGTTTGTTTTGAAATCGTTCATTAACGCTATTATATGAAAATAGTAAGAAAAGAAAAGAAGTGAATTTTTTTTTTTGATTACTTTGGAAGTTTGAGAGAAAATGACTTTTTAACTTTTTCATAAAATTTTCTTACAAAAAAAAAAAAAAAAAAAAAAAAAAAAAAAAGGAACAAGAAAGTTTTTAAAACTTACAATAATATCATTTGTTTTATGAAAAGTTTCATGATATTTAAACTTGTAAGTTTTCATAATTTTCTTGAAAAATTTATTTATTTTTTATTCACTTTATATATATACATATATATATATATATATATATATATATTTTTTTTTTTTTACTTTTACTTTCCACCATTAATTTCTATCTAGCTATATAGAAGTTTAGCCCACATGCCACAAATCATTCACAGGCCCAATTAGTTGTTTTACCTTTAAAGGCCCATCTAACTTGCATCTTCATCTAGGGATAATTTCACTTACCTCCCTTGAGGTTAGGCGTAATTATAGGCGGTACCCTTAACGTTTCAAATATTACACCGACCTCCTTTCAATGTGGCCGGCGTTAGATTCTGGTAGAAATTCATGTGAAAGTACTAATGTACCCTCTATTATTATATTAATATAAAATATTATCAAATTATTTTAACAAATGTCCATTTGTACCCTTGAGCTTAGATTTATTTATTTTTTTTCATTTTTCCTATTAAACAGAAACAAAACAACCGAACAAAGCACAGGAAAAAAAATTACGAAGCAAACCGGGCCACTAGGTCCCTTCTCTCTCTTGTCTCTCTTTCTCTTTCCAACCTCTTTAGCGAATAACATGTGGTCCTAGCCGCTGGCCCTCTCTTCGCCATCCTCAGTTTCCTCTTCTTCCCTTACACCTGGTCCACACCCAGAGGCCCTCATCACCGTCGAGATCACCACCGCCTACCCCAGCAACGACGGCTTCATCTTCTGGGCCTACCGTGCCTTCATACCCTTTGTCGGCTATCATGACGACCTGGAAATTCCTCTCTGCCTTTCCTCGCCGCGTCCCCATCATCTGCATCGACTACTGTGAGAAATCTTCCCGTCTTCAGTGATCCAAGTAGAGACCCAAATCACGAGTTTCAATTTAGTAGAATAAAATCCTAACCCAAATCATTTGCCATGTAAGCTTCGTCAGCGTTGCTTCAATTTGGGGGTTCATTGCGTTCTTCTATATGTGGATGGTTGTGCTTGTCGGTATACCACAGTCACCGATTGGTTGTTTATGGCGTTGCCCTTTGACTTTTTTGGTGGTTAGTTGTTGGTCGGGGCTTTGCCGTTTGCCCTTTGCCATTTGTTTATTAGTCACGCTTCACCGTCGTTGTGATGTTGTTACGCTGCCTGATCTCACCGTTGTGTATCACCGGCGGCTTGAACGATTGGGGCTTTTAGGACTACCGATAGCTAAATCATCCACCATACAGTTCATTGTATTGTATTGTTGTTTCTTCGCATTAGCTATGTTTTATCTCTTTCTTGTTGTCACAATTGGGTTTCTTTGTTTCCTATTTTTTTATCAGAAACTCCTATGGCCTTCCCTTTGACAAAAAAGTTTAATATGGTTTTCTTGGAATTCATTGTTTACTTTTTGGTGTTTGTTAATAAATAGACAAACATATGGTATTAGAGAGACCTTGTATATAGAATTTTAGAGAGAAATTAAAGTTTAGAGAGACTCATACAGAGGAGAGAGGAGATGATATAGTAGGTTGATATATATATATATATATATATATATAGACATAGAAGGTCTTTTTGTCTTTATATTGAGGGTATTCAAGAATTTTAAATCAAAAGTGAGGGTGTAAATGTCTTTGCAACCTTTTTAAGGGTAAATGTGGTATTTCACACAGAGAAGAGGCTGACATCATCAAAAGACGGCGTTGACTACTAATGGGAGGGACAGATTGTTATGACGGAGCTAACCTGGAGGGAGGTCGGTGTAATATTTGAAACGTTAGGGATACAACCTGTAATTAGGCCTAACCTCAAGGAAGGTAAGTGAAATTATCCCTTTCATCTATGTTGATTAAGATAAGGAAACCGTAAATCATCTTCTCAAAAAACCCTAAGAAGTACGAACCCTAAGAAGCACGACTGAGGAGTTTTCAAAGGATGGAGACGGGAATGGTGGTGGAGAAGGAGGAGAAACCACTAGTGCAGGGAAAGAAGATGATGATGGAGGAGGAGGAGGAGGTGGAGGAGAGGATAGCAGACCAAAATTTGGAGGATGGAGTGGTGGAGAAGAAGGAGAAACCACGAATGCCGGGAAAGAAGATGGTGGTGGTGAAGAAGGAGAAACCACGAGTGCGGGGAAAGAAGATGATGGTGAGGCTGTCGAGGATATTCATGGATAAAAAGACATCGTATATGGTGTCGGAGGAGGAATCCCTCCACCGGCAGGAGGAGGATCTGAGGGAGGTATTCTTCCAGTATCTGGAGGAGGGATTGCAGAGAAGATTGAAGACGGTGGCGGGATCATCAATTCAGCTCACGTGTGAGCAGAAGGTAAGGCTGGTAGTTTTCATAGTTTGCCAATTGAAAAATTCTTCTGTTTACTCTGCTGCGATTTTCAAATTAGAGATGGAAAAAATTGTAGTAAAATCTGAGGGTCGATTTAAAGTTTTTTAATCAAAGGAAGTATTTGGGCAAGGAAACCTCTCCACGTTTAGGGTTTGTGTCTTGTGCTATGGTGCGAAACGAATTATACTTAGCGTGTAGTTATTTGCAGCTTGACCTTCAGGGCGGCCAGATCCGCGAAGCTTCTGTTCATATGTTCGACACTTTGAATGAACGACTGATTGAGTTGCCGTCGTCATCTCATGGTTTTGTTACACCCAAACCTTTCCCTGTAGTTATGGCTGTTGGAACTCTCCAACTTTATGTTTATGGACAATCTATGGCAACTTCATTGAATGTCCCAGCGCCAACACTTGAGAGCTTTAACATTGGAGAGTTTGAATGGGAATCACAATTACCTCCACAGTTTGATTTACCGAGCTGTACCTTTGTTAATGGTTACGCGGTTGTAAAGAATTTTCTCCTCATTTCGGTTGCAGATTTCAATAGTAGACATTCTTGTAATGAGTTTTTCTACTGGAATTTCTCCGGTGGTTCTAATTCCAAAAACAAGTGGGAGAAGATGATCTTGTCAAAAGGCCAAAAAAATATATACTATCCATTCTCCGGGAAGGCTGAGTTTGTTGAAGATGTGATTTATTCATACAATAGAGGCTTGTATGCATACCGGGTTGATTGCTGTTCTGACAAAGAAGGTCTACAGATATCTCCTCCTCAGCTAGTTGGACTTCCCAAGTTTGCAGCCCTGCCTGTGGATTGGTCTGATTCCATCCATTTCTCGTTCAGCAGTGCATATATGGGGATTGGGAAGAGATTCTGTATCATCAGGACTGGGGACTCGGGTTGTATTGGTGATCAACAATTCATGGCCGTATCTGTAGTTGAAGTTTCTGAAGATATGCAGTGTCTAACAACCCTCTCTTCGACAATCTGCCCACTCGACATCGGTGGCCTCGGCAGTGACTTGATCCTCGATTCTTGCTTTGTCAAGTAAGTTCCATGATTAGCTTAATTATCTGCCTATATCTCCCGTCCTTAATAAATTGTGTCATTTGTTGTACTAGTGCTTCTCTATTAATTAGAGGATGTAATATTCCTGCATGCTATATATATATAAATAAATAAAATTTTGTTGTCCAACAATTCTAATTGCATTCTTTTGATCATCATTCTACTAAGCAAGTCTGATGGATTGCGTGGCTTTCAACATTTCTTTTACATCCTTGTTCTTCATTTTATTAGGAAGATAGGAAAAATCATTCAAACCATTTTGTGAGCGACGAATTACAGAGTATAATTAGTTGCCTGAGCCAGTTTGCATGCCGTTGGTTGCAACAGGCTCTGTTTTTTTCTTTGTTTTTCTTATTTTTTTAAAATTTCTTAATCCATTAAGAGATGATGTATAAGGCGATCATTAGGTATGTGGCTGTGGAGATTTCCATTTGGATAATTGGTTTATTGAGAAAGTTGTCTTTCTTGGGTAGCACCTAAATAATACTTGGGGCAGGGAAACTTAAATGGGGGTGGGGGACTAGCTCTTGGGGGTGGGGGGATTTGTGGGTGCGGATGGGGTGGGGGTACCCTGCCCTATCCCTAGCTATGAGTTTAGAGAGATGTAGCTTGGGGAGGGCAGCCTCACGGGGGAGTGAGTTGATGGGTAGAGAGAGTTTAAGGTATTGGTAGAGCGAACACTGATGGCGAGAGTGTGCCGGCCTAGCCTTTAACGGCCTCTCTGATTGTAATTAAGGGCTGGCCTCTTTGACTCGGGCAAGGGGAGAGCGCGAGCTGAAACCACACGGTGTAAGGCTCGGGGGTATTTGCCTCTATACCCTGGAGTAGGAGTTTGTGTACCTGTTCCGGTCTGAATATCTCCCGATCCGTGGACGTAGCCTATAGTTAGGATGAACCACGTATATCTTGTGTTTTGTGTGTATGATTGTTCCATTATTACTCTTTCGGTGGATCTCGGTGTTCCTTGTGCTTCCCCTATGCCCCAACACCAATAAGTCCATAGAACTCGAAAAGTTGAAAAATTCACTCAGTTTTGCTGTAGTCAAAATATGAACTTGCGGATTCATTAAGGCAAGAATAATTTGTGGGTTTTGCAGTTGAACTTAACAAGCCTTACAATGAGGTTACAATGTTGTTTTTTGTCCTTGCATCAGAATTATGGCTGCTTGTAGCCGGCCTTGGTCATTTGCTTTGGTTGCTTGACATTGGTCGTGAAGTATTTGCTTGATGGCTTTTGTGCTTTGTTTGTACATACTGATCTATATGAAAGCTAATCCTTTACCAGGAAAAAAAGGGGGTTCAAAGTTTGTGGTCCTTTGGTTTGTCCTTGAAAATTTTGTGGTCCTTATGATTTTATCTGTTAAATCAAACTGTTAAATGCCAATTGAAGTCTGTCATACTTCCAAAATATTTGTGGTGTTTGATTAATCAGCATTTTATCTTGTTTATCATATTGTTATACAGATTTTTCGGTGGTTTGTTTTCAGAGGCAGAGATTGGGAGCAAGATCCCTTTGAACTTTGAAGGATGGGATCAGAAGGAAGATCCCTTTGAAGGATGGGATCTGAAGGAAGATCCCTTGGGAGGTTGGGTGAATGGATAAATATAAATCATAAGGACCCAACATTGGACAATTCATATCTTTATTTACTCACCATGCACTCAAGAGAGAAAACTTCAATGAACATCCAAATCTGAAAGGAATTGGTGAAGAAATAGTGAAAAAATGTAAAGGCTTGCCTTTGGCAGCAAAAACACTAGGAGGCCTCTTGCGCAACAAACCACGACAAAGGGAGTGGGAGAATATACTGAATAGCAAGATGTGGGATTTACCTGACGTGGCTCTACTAGAATTCCAAAGGCTCAGCATCTATTGCAGGACTTCTTCAACGGGAAGGAGCTGTGTAAGAGCATTCACCCAGATGAGGCTGTTGCTTATGGTGCCGCTGTGCAAGCTGCAATCTTGAGTGGTGAGTACCAGGAGCTGTCGCTGTTGGATGTAACCCCTCTGTCCCTAGGCATGGAAATTGATGGAGGTGTCATGTCTCTTGTGGTTCCAAGAAACACTACAATTCCTACCAAGAAGGAGAAGTTGTTCACTACCGCTGAGGATAACCAGTCTAGTTTATTGTTAGAAGTGTACGAGGGTGAGAGAACAAGAACAAACGACAACCACCTGTTGGCAAATTTGAGCTCTGTGGCATTCCTCCTGCCCCTAGAAAAGTTCCACATATCAACATCTGCATTGACATTGATGCCAATGGTATCTTGAATGTTTCGGCTGAGCACAAGACCACTGGTCAAAGGAACAAGATCACTATCACTAATGGAGAGAACAGGTTGTCCAAGAAAGAGATTCAGAAGATGCTTCAGGAAGCTGAGAAGTACAAGTCTGAAGATGAGGACTACAAGAAAAGGGCTGAAGTCAAGAATACTTTGGAAGATTGCGCGTATAAGATGAGGAAAGCTGGTAATCTCTCACAGGCAGACGTGGTGGAGATCGAGGATTCTATTGACGAGGCCATACAGTGGATGGACAGGAAGGAACTTGAGAGCATCTGCAACCACACCATTTCCATCTTCAGCCGGTGGAAGTGGCGCAGGCCCCAACATTGAGGAGGTTGATTAAGTACTACTAAGTTTTTTTACGCAATCAGGAGTTTGCTCTTGGTTACATGAACAAACCATAGCTTACTTGCGCAATTTTTTTTTAATTTTCTTACATGAACTTTTATGTGTGGGAAGACATGCAATATATTTATAGATTGTGAAGGGCCTTAAATGTTGGAATTTAATCATCCACCTGGGAAGTAAACTGGTAATCCACCATGATTATGGGAAGTAAACTTCAAAATATCAATTGAAATTTAAGATCAAAGTAGACCAGGACCATCTGTGAACCAAATTGTTTATGACAGTTGGGACTTGACTCAACAATAATATAAATCAAGCTTATTTGGTTTTATGCTCGTTTGGTCAACAGTTATATTTATGATTGTTTCTCGTTTGGCCAACAATCCAAGTCCACTTAAGAATGAGCTGAATAGGCTACTTAAGAAGCTTGAAACATCGTTAATGAATACTTTCTTTTTTGCCTTTTGGATTTACAATGGACACAAAACATCTTTGTATCTGTGAATTGATAAATATTATAGGAAAAAAAAAAAAACCAGAGAATTGAGAATGCAATAGAGGGTTGAAAAGTATGGCTTAGATATCAGCGTAAAAAACCTAGAAGACATGCTGCAAGTAAGCATCCAATTCTAAAGGAGCAGGTGCCCCCCCCAAAATTTTTGAAAACTTTTTTTTGAAGTATAGGCTAAAACAAAAAAAATAGTTTAGGTAACTAAGATAGTTTATAGTTGGTGGCCCTTTAAAATTTTTTATGGACCTTTAACAATATATATATATAATATACTCCGTATCTATCTATCTCCTTTTGAACCCTCTCTTCCTTTCTCAATTTTTTTCTTTTCCAATTGAGGCTTCTTTAAACTTTTTTTTTGCACTTTTTTCTTGTTTGTTTTTGTGTTTTTCTAAAGCAAGTTTCCCACTTCCTTCTAGTCTCTCATTTTACTACGGCTTTTACACTAAGTAAGGCGGGTGAAGAGAGAGAGTTTAAAGTGAGAAAAGGTAAGCTCTTCAAACTTCGTTTTGCAATTTTAATTATATTGTTTGTTGCTTTTATTTGAATTTCAGATGTAAATATGTTGAGATATCTTAAAAATATATCTTGTTAGACTTTAAGTTTTGTGATTTATATTTAGATAGAGCATATTGTTCATGGACTTTTTGGTGGATTCTCGATTTTCATCCGTTCCAATTGATCCAGAAAAGGTTAAAAAGTCCCACAAATGGAGAGCATTATGTACAATTGATCTCTTTTTGGATTTCGTTAGCAAGTAAAATGGATTAAACCCGGTTATTTTTCTATTTTATATTTATTTTTTAATTTTTTAGAAAATAAATATCAAACATAACTTCTAGGTGAATCCGATTCCATAGTTGTCCTAAATGGCTCAATGATTTATACAGGCCACAAGGAAAATATAAGAAACATCTCCATTATCAAACATTCAGTACGTTAAGACGAGATCTGACTGAGAAGCTTACCGAGATATTCTACCATACTGTAGTCACTCAGAAATTCGGCTATATCCTACTCGGTGATAGATTGTCTTTCTTAATCGTCGGCTTTGCTCATCTCCTTTCTTATCTTTTCTAGCTCTTCGGGTGCATAGCATCCGCAAGACCTTGTGAACCTTCACAGAGTTCAGCAATAGTTTGGTCCATGGTGGTGATTTCTTTTCCAGAATTGGCTCCCGGGCACTTGATGAGAATCCCTGAGTTGTAATTGTTTTGCTATGACCGAAGCTAATTTCTCAATGGCGGGTAACTCTGGCTTTTCTAGAGCTTGTAAAGTGCATTGATTGTTAAAATGAAAGCTTGGTGCTGTAAACATCAGAGAGGTTGGCACTTCAAAATCAGTATGCACAGATGTGAAATGTTCAAGCACTCGTTATCCTTCAAAATCTGATTTAGCTTAAATTGTATAATGGTGTTGGCATGATAGAGCCTTCTTGTTAATGTTTACGGGTCAACTAATTTTTTCCTTCTTGACAAATCTTTGGTTAAGTAGGAGGGAATAACTGATGACTGATTCCAAGATCGTAAGCGATCCCCGCACCATTCCTGTCACCCTTCATTTCATGCTATAAAAATTAAGCAAGTAATGTATTATCTACCTAAACCCATGCAATAAAAAGCCACTAAAAGATACATGCATCATTGCATGATATATATAGACCACCTTTCATTCAAATTTCCATTACCAGAAAGACACAGATCCAACACTTGAGATTAAGAAACAAGGAAAATAAGTGTTCATAACATTAAAGTTTACCAAGCTCCACAAAATACATGCACAATCCCAAATTTGCTCGTCAAACAAAATAAATTCATATCATATTATACTCTTATCCATTCACCCAATTTCCCAAGGGATCTTGCTCCCAACCTTCAAAGGGATCTGCCTTCCGATCCCATCCTTCAAAGTTCAAAGGGATCTTGCTCCCAATCTCTGCCTCTGAAAACAAACCACCGAAAAACTGGATAACAATATGATAAACAAGATAAAATGCTGATTAATTAAACAACATAAATATTTTGGGAGTATGACAGATTTCAATTGCCATTTGGCAGTTTGATTTAACAAATAAAATCACAAGGACCACAAAATTTTCAAGGACAAACCAAAGAACCACAAACTTTGAACCCCCCCTTTTTTTTTTCCTGGTAAAGGATTAGCTCTCATATAGATCAGTATGTACAAACAAAGCACAAAAGCCATCAAGCAAATACTTCACGACCAAGGCCAAGCAACCAAAGCAAATGACCAAGGCTAGCTGCAAGCAGCCATAATTCTGATGCATGGACTGAAAACAACATTGTAACCTCATTGTAAGGCTTGTTAAGTTCAACTGCAAAAACCACAAATTATTCTTGCCTTAATGAATCCGCAAGTTCATATTCTTGACTTCAGCAAAACTGAGTGAATTTTTCAACCTTTCGAGTTCTATGGACTTATTGGTGTTGGGGCATAGGGAAAGCACAAGGAACACCGAGATCCACCGAAAGAGTAATAATGGAATAATCATGCACACAAAACACAAGATATACGTGGTTCACCCTAACTAAAGGTTACGTCCACGGATCAGGAGATATTCAGACCGGAACAGGTACACAAACTCCTACTCGAGGGTATAGAGGCAAATACCAGAGCCTTACACCGTGTGGTTTTAGCTCGCGCTCTCCCCTTGCCCTAGTCAAAGAGGCCAGCCCTTAATTCCAATCAGAGAGGCCGTTAAAGGCCAGGCCCGAAGTTTCCCCGCCCCAAGTAGTATTTAGGTGCTACCCAAGAAAGACACAACTTTCTCAATAAACCAATTATCCAAATGGAAATCTCCACAGCCACATACCTAATGATCACCTTATACATCATCTCTTAAAGGATTAAAAAATAAAAAAAAATAAAAACAAAGAAAAAAAGAGTCTGTCGCAACCAACGGCATACAAACTGGCTCAGGCAACTAATTATACTCTGTAATTCGTCGCTCACAAAATGGTTTGAATGATTTTTCCTATCTTCCTAATAAAATGAAGAACGAGGACGTAAAAGAAATGTTGAAAGCTACTCAATGCATCAGACTTGCTTAGTCGAATGATGATCAAAAGAATGCAATTAGAATTGTTGGACAACAAAATTTTATTTATTTATATATATATAGCATGCAGGAATATTACATCCTCTAATGAATAGAGAAGCACTAGTACAGCTGATGACACAATTTATTAAGGACAGGGGAGATATAGGCAGATAATTAAGCTAATCATGGAAATTACTTGACAAAGCAAGAATCGAGGATCAAGTCACTGCCGAGGCCACTGATGTCGAGTGCGCAGATTGTCGAAGAGAGGGTTGTTAGACACTGCATATCTCCAGAAACTTCAACTACAGATACGGCCACGAATTGTTGATCACCAATACAACCCGAGTCCCCAGTCCTGATGATACAGAATCTCTTCCCAATCCCCATATATGCACAGCTGAACGAGAAATGGATGGAATCAGACCAATCCACAGGCGGGGCTGCAAACTTGGGAAATCCAACTAGCTGAGGAGGAGATATCTGTAGACCTTCTTTGTCAGAACAGCAATCAACCCGGTATGCATACAAGCCTCTATTGTATGAATAAATCACATCTTCAACAAACTCAGCCTTCCCAGAGAATGGATAGCGTATATTTTTTTGGCCGTTTGACAAGATCATCTTCTCCCACTTGT